ATTAAAATATTAAAATATCAATTAATTAACTATTTAAATTTAGGAATTAAATTTATGGAAATTCCTAAAATATAAATAAAAAATATAACTTGATTTTTAATAAATTAATTTCCACGTGGCGCAATTTAATTGGGCATAAATTTTATGTCTCTACAACAAGTTTTGATTAGTTCTTTCCATGTTTTTGTTGCTTCTCTCAGTCCCTCAGTCGAAAAATTCCCTTTCTGTGAAAATAAAGAGGGGTGCGAGAGTAATGACATCTCTTCCCTAATTTTGGCTATGCACCTTTGTTTCTTCAAGTTGCCCATGCATTGTGGTTACGAGGCCATTGGTTGCAGTTTATGTATTTATTTATTTATTTTATTTTTTTGTTTTTCGTTAGTTGCAGTTTCCAGTTGGATACTATACTCAATGATAAGGTCTCGTGTGAGTGGCTCCGGTCTAGAACGGTTTTGGGTTTAGAGTTATGGCCTCCTCGTCCTGTTTCCGGCTAGAGTTGGAGCTCGCAAGTACCTGCAAAGGGACGCCGGAGGTTTTCCAGCGTCAAAACCCTCTGAAGCTTAAGTTAGTGTTGGGAGATTTGAGGAAGAAGATGAACAGTGGATATATTGTGGTTGTTGATTAATAAATGTTACTTACTTTTTGCAGTTAATGTGCCAATATATATAGACATGGATATCTCGTTATTTAGGGTATTATCGGTAGGGCCGGGTATTGTCTAGTGGTTTAACTTATGTCTGTAAAATCGACTCCGGTTTATGGTAACACTAGGTGTGAGATCAGTCATGAGGTGAGAGGTAGATACCCTGGGGTCGATACCCGGTTTACATGTGTGAGATCGATACCCGGTCTCTATGTGAGAAGTCAACATCCGGTCTGAGGTTATACCCATATCACTTAATATGCATGCTTTTTTTATCAATCATTTAAGGCTTGGCTCCATGTGTGTGCTTTTTGTTTCCTATATTACTAATTTGAAGTACGATATTAACAAGTTTTACTTACTTGCAGGTTACTAGATAAGAATTGCCATTTTTCTTTATTTCCTTATGTACTAAGTGAACATAGTGATCGACAACGTTGTCTCTTTTGTGACAAGGGCAATAAAACGACTGCTGTCCGAAGCAGTAAACCGGTAATCATTACCGTCATGAGAGGAGTCGTTTCTCCTTTTGCTTTATTTCTTAATTTAACGATTGACATTTCAGTTTCGAAATTTTTCTTCATCTCTAAACCTGGTGTCTCGGGATCATCTGTTTCGGTATGGTCAGGTAGGATTCCCGAATGTTCCAAGCATTTTATGTTCTTTTTAGCTCGACTTTATTCAACCCAAATGGAAAAATACAAATTCGAATTAACTTAGGTATAACATCACTGTGTTGATAGTTGTTGTTATTAACCTTTGTATGTACTTGGAAGTTGGATAACTGCTGGTGAAGAACAGTATTCGAGATGTCTTGAACTCTAACAGTGATAGATATTCGATGAAATACGGTATATTCACCTGCCAGTAACAACTAGTGACTTCTTAATCAGAAAGCCGTTTGATATAGACGAAACACATGGACCTTTAAAATTTATGACATTTGTACATGATACATCACACAGACCGTAATTTAAGGAAAGGATACCGATCTTTCTTCAGAGACAGGACTTTCGTATTCCACAAAAAGACAAGGAAATTAAACACGTTGTGGCGTCGTGTTTGGTGGGGTTGGAGCCGAGGCCACGCGTTTCCCCCGTTCGGATCGGCTATTCTCGGCAAATTTGAGACTCTTCTGGTGCATACCCCTCTGCTTCTCCTCCTCATTGTACTCGGACGAGTAATAATGCTCTTCGACCGCATTTTTAGATGGGGGGAAAAACATGCTGCCCCACTGCGGGAAGTGAACCAAAGTTACAGGAAGAGTGCACGCCACGATCATTATCCCCATGTTGGTCAACCCGGTCGAAGTCGACTGTTTTGAAGATGTGAAAAAGAGCAATTGCGTGAGACCCGAGCCGAAGTTCCCACCGGCGCCCGTCATGCCTGATATCACGCCTAGCGACCTCCTCGAAATAAACTGAATGATGCCGAAGGTGTCCCCACAGGTGGCCTGCGCTCCGACTGAGAAGATAATCATGAAGGTGATGGCGATGGGAAGTGAATTGGCCCTTCCAAGGAGAATGCAGAAAACGCCGCCCATCGTTTGGAGGATCCACAGAATCCAAAGCCTACCCCTCATTCCAAATAATCGAGCCGAGTAGTCGGAAGCCAATCCTCCGAACGGGCGAGCCACAAGATTAACCATGCCGAACATGGCTGCGATGGTTCCAGCCGTGTGCAGCTTAAGATCAAATCTGCACAAGATTTAGAAAATTATTGATTCATTCCGATATATTCATCTGGATATAGGACAGCAAGTACCTATCGAAAAAGTATTCAGCAATCACGTTATCGGTTGAGAGCTCAACTCCCATAGAGTAGCCATAGAGGAGGACGAAAATCCATGTTCTGTAGTTAGTCACCGCATACCACAACACCTGAAAATATATTTATTTCTGGTCAGCCCAATGTCGTTTAATCAGAGGAAATTATTATTAAGTGAAAAATATATACCTTGCCGAACTTATCCTTGGCAACGTCCCCCTTCTTCTGGAGTGCACTGAGATTGCCGTCGGGCAAGTGCTGGCCGAGCGTCATGACCAAAATACCCATGATGATGTGCAGCCAGCCTGGAATGAAGAAGGCGATCCCAGGCGGTGAAAGGGGTCGAGCCAGCCCTCTTGATAATCTCGAAGAGCAAGGGCATGATGAGCTGGGTGGCCCCACCGCCCATGTTCCCCCAGCCGGCTGCCATGCCGTTGACAATTCCCACTATCTGGGAGTTGAACATAGTGCTCATCCAGTACTGGCAGGACACGAACGTGGCCAGAGAGAAGCCGATCATGAAGCGTACCGTCACATAACCCCCAGCGGACGACACGAGGGACATGCAGAAAACGGTGGGGGCGGAGAGCATGATGAGGAAGGCGCACCCATAGCGCGGCCCGAGCAGGTCGCAAACCGCCCCCATCACCAGCCTCGATAATATGCTCCCTGACACGGATGCCACCCCAGCGTTCCCAATATCGGCCTTGGTCAGGTTGAGGTTGTCACGGATGATGGGGACCAGCGGGGCCGCCGCGAACGTCTGACACAAGGCACGTGAAGAAGGAAATCCACAAAAGGTGGAATGTTCTCATGTGGGGATTCGCGAACGAAAAGAGCTTGAATTTCTTGGCCTTGTGCTCTGAGTCCACTGGGAGGTCGAACTTTGCGGTTGGGTCCGACGGGACCATTGGGGAGGCCACCGAGAATGCAAGGACGGGCTCACGGCCCGTCTTGCCGTCCAAGGACGAGCCCGGAGAACCTTCGATATAAGCCATTTTTGTTTTTTTTTTTTTGTTT